AAGATTGTCACGTCTCAAAGATTTCCATGCGAAGTGAATTGAAAAAATTACCGAACGTACTTTACTCCCTTGCACTATGCCGAGACTCGGAAAAAGCCGCATTAGATTCAACAACGAGCCTGACTCGTGAAAATAGTGCAAGGGGTTAACCTAAAGGGGTCATACCTAAGATAATCTCGGATGTTATAAAAACATTAGATAGATTCTTAACAGTTGACACCTGAACTCCTATGTGGTTAACATTCTCAACTCTCCTTAGGAGTATGCATTAACAAGTGTAAATATACGAATGTACACAAGGTGGTGTACATATGCATAAATATTACAAAATGTAAAAAAGAAAATACACGTCACAGCATTTAGAAGACAAGACATTTAAATGTACGTATCTGTTTTTCATCTGGGTATATAAAAATGTGAATTCGCATAAATATCGACTTAGAAGTATACACAGGCACGACCGTGTACAAATTCACGGAATTGTTTGCTGTTAGAAAAAAAAAAATATATTATTAAAAAATGACACTAATGACCTTAAACGGCTTTTGTTTTTTTTATCTGTGAAATGAATAGTCCGAGCACTTTTTACTTAAATGCATAATGTCGAATCAATATCCATCGGAAGGTTAAAAGTATCGAAGAATTTTAATTATTAAGAGAGGTAATAATTCAGAGTAAATTCTAGATTCGCCATTTTCTATTATTTAAACATTATTCGTAACGAAGCATTCTTTATTATAACACCACAAGCGAAGTTTCTTCTTTACAAATGTAAATGAATTTTACCCAACTCCAGCTTCTAGAAAATGTCGAGTCCCGTTTTTAATGTCTACCTTGCAACGTGTCATTGTGAAATTTTCGATCTCTTTTTAGTTTCGAAACGAGAAACTCGTTTTAAACGCTTGCACTCGATTAAAACCCACCACTTTCCACTCGGAAATATAGTAAAAGCTTACGTGTCCGTGGCGTTTTACTTTTATTATTCTTTTTTGTTTCGTAGACTCCTGGATTTTCTGCCAGTCGTTCCTTTCGCGTGTTATGAGTAATTACACGCCAAATTTCTCGTTGTAATTAATGACCCACGGTGCAATTACGAAGACTCGCGGTGTACCGTTTTTTTAATTTCATTTGGATAATTGTATAGTGCGTTAGGGACTCATTAGGGGTTCGTTAATTACGTAAGGACGATTTTGGCCATTTTTGATCCCCCTATCCCCAATTAAAGACACGTAAAGGTCTTCTTACATAATATTGTAACTAGAGTTTTCCTCTACTTAAATAGTTGTATGTTGTTAGAAAAGGCTTAGCTACACTAAAACACGTTATTATAATTCACAGATGTTTATTTTTTTTTTTTTTTTTTTTTTTTAAATAGTTATTTTGTCTCTGGGAAATTCGTGGTATAATTAAAGGTAAGATTTGAAACAATCTTAAAATGAGGAAACTATTTTGATTCGTAGTTAAATATTACGTAAGAATGACTCTTAACCCTCCCTCCCCAGGTAATGTCACGTTCAGATTTTTTTAAACCTCCCCGTCCCTTGAAATCTTTATGTAATTAATAAGTGACCTCTTACAGGGATAGTTTTACACAAACAGAGATTCAAAACGCTTCCTATCGTACATCTATATAGATCGAGGAAATCGACTCAAATATCGAGATGATTAACCGTATTAATAGCTCTGAATCTCACGAATATTTCGATAATCATCTAAGCATCTAGACAACGCGAAATTAATCGTTTTATAACGAAGACTATTCGCGTTGAATTTGCCACTGTAACAAGCATTAAATTCAATTTGCCGAGAAGATTATTCAAGATATATTTTTTACGCGATTCCACTAAAAAGCATTCGTCTACTATGTTGCGCGGTCATTATATACCTGTCTTTACGTAAAGGTGATTTGAAGTTCGGACCTGCAATTACACGAGGAAAGGTGAAAAAGACGGGAACGCATAATTTCTCGCTGTTACGTCAGATTGTAATTGCACAAAATGTAGCTTACTCGATAGAGTAAAGACGAAAAAATTCGACTAAACTAAACTCGCACGATGTATTCGTTGCATGCTTTGCATACCCCTGTTGGTATGTAACCCATTCGCGATGGTGTATGACGCGTTGCAGAATTGCAGGGGCACGTGTGATTGGTCAATAAGGGAAGTATGGTAACGCAGAGACTAAGAAAGAACAACAATAATAAAGCTTGAGTCAAATGTAGTTGAAGTAGCAGTAACAAATAGTCTGTGGATGTTTATGCAAATTCAAATTTTCATGCAGTTCGTGCAGTTTTAAATTATCAAAAAATTTGTTACACTGTTGGTTATTTATGGATCTAACGATTGCAGGTGCTGGGAAGGCAACAGTACATTGTACGACCGATGGTAATGGACGAAAGCTGTACGCCTGGAACCGGTAGCGACAATCCGGCGGTCGCCGGAAGTAGCGGTGTTATCAGCGAAGCAGCACTGGCGCATGCTCCAGCGTTAACCGAGAAAACGGTTCGAGAACACGGAATTCCGTTGGAGCAAGCGGTCGAGCAGGTAATTAAATTTCTAATCTTTAAATATTTCGTTGAAATTTGTCCGGCACAAATGTATACAATGTTTCCATCCACATATGTACATTCGATACGAACGATAAGGAAACTAATAACTTCGATCTGCGTTGAATGAAAAAAAAAAAAAAGATAAGTGTAGCTGAATTCGCGTAATCCATCGTATCATCGAACAAATATTTAACGTTGAAGACTAGAAGTATGAGTTTAGCAAGTTTCTCTAGTGGGTTTCTTTTTGTTTAGCAAATAATTAATGTGTTAATTACATGTAGAAATTACATGTACACATTACATTACACGTAGGAAAAGCATCAGTGCTTTTCTCACAATGATGTCGATATGCTTGTCTATAGAAAGTATACAAATTTTGTTAAATTTTAAGGAACCAAATTTGTTGGCAATACAAATAAAATTGAGTTTCACTGAGAACGAATGTATCGTCTGGTGAAGCGAGAGTGAGGTCTCCAGGAACCTCATTCTCCCTTGGCCAACTTAAACGCATATCCATTTTAATTACCAATGAAAGTGAGAACTTCTTTAAATTTATATCTCGAGGATTTTTCATGTTTTAATTACATGAAGCATTCCACAAAACTGTTTTTATTGCGGGAGACTCAAGGGGAAGCAACTTTTACAAAATTTGATTTTTAAAAAAAGTTCGAAGCATGGTGGTCTTCCATGTCCTGCGTGACGTCAGGCACCGCACCGAGATTCGTCGTAGACGGACAGGCGCCTTTGAGACAATGCCTGCATCCAGAGGCCTGCAACAAAGACATCGAGCTGCCAGAACATTACAACTTCTTCCACGACCTCCGCAAGGAATTCGTCGCCTGCTACTCTACCCACGGGGAACTTTCGACCTTTGGAATACAGGAGATGCTGGAATGTATCCTTTTACAAATCGCATAATTAACGATTCGATGTTGCTCGGTCATTTCCTTGTTTTGCGCATACCTTTGTCGATGGGCGTCGTTCTACGTCGCAGGACCACTAGTGCGACTAGTTGCTCCCTCTATCGAGGAGATGGAGCACGAAAAAGTCAAATAAAAGCATAATGAATCGACATTTTAGGTATGTCCTTCTCAATTTACGTGGCAGGGACTAATTGTCGAATTTATTTTATATTAGAGCATTTCAGCTGAATCCATGAGTATTGGAATATTTAGACTATTCAAAGGCTTATTCGAAGATACATAACGCTCTCAGCCACATTGGTTAATGGCGCCATCTGTCGTGTTCGTTTTTTTTTTTTTTATGTATTAGGCGTAGAAATTAATTCTGTGCCTCTGTATTTAATAATTTATAACTCTAGTTTAAACTTAATCGTCGCTAAAGTAGATATACTTATTTGCTCATTCTAAGCCTTCCGAGTCCTCAGTTTCAACTCTATTACAATGTATCTATTCACATAACCTAAGTCTCAACCTGATGGTCACTGCTGCAATGCATCCATACAAACTTTTAGTAGCCTTCGAATTTTGCTTGTTGTTACTCTTTTTCAATTACTGTAATTACCAAGCACACTTGTGTAATCTGTGAGAATAATAACAATAAGCAAAAACGCATGGCTATCAAACTTCGTACATACATATATGTAGATTGTAACGATATGTACAGATTCATTATAACAGAGTCCCAGGTCAAGAACCTAGAATGTTGGTAATTATTTCGGTTTAAACTAAACTTATAATAGATTGAATATGAAGCCAGAGGAATAATTTCTACGCCTAATTAATTATATTATATTGGTTTTCTCTCGTTCACGTCTCCTAAATTTTAGTTTAACTTCGATTCAGATTAACATTTCGTTACAAAATGTAAACAACAAACAGGAACAACATTGTCTCACTTCCATATATTAGGTTGTCCCGAAAGTTTCTTTCGCTTTATTAATAAGTAATACATGCACAATATTATATGTTTTATGCTACATTACTGAATTGTACACGATTCATTTTGCTCCATTACTGTTACAACATGAATATCTATGAAATTAGATTGTCTATCTATATAAACACGACCACATCAAATAATTCAGTGCAACTCGCGAAAGAAACTTTCGGGACAACCTAATACTCGCATCATTACACAGTCCTAATCCCGTACCAAACTGACAAGTCGCTCCCTCTCTCGAGGATCGAGGGCACTCAAAAAACTCAATTAAAAAGGCCTGTAAAAATACAAAGGAGCATCCCACGAATCGAATTCATGCCTACATCGTTTTTCCAGCCCACCGTGTAGCCACTTTTCGATCCGCGCGTTTGTTCGCCGTCGGAATCGTCGCGATTCATTGATAAAAGTAAAGATTCCGTTTTTCGATACCGTCTGATCGCCCCAAGGCGACGACTATGGTCGAAACGAGGAGAATTCCAAGGCGTGCGGCCGTTAGGCGGCGCGACAGAAGTCGAATCCAACATATTCGACGAACCTGACGACGAACTGGCCGCTGGTGTGTAAAGTCAGTCCAAGTCAGTCTGGAAACGGACGGAGGGTGCGCGTATCGTGTAATTGCGGCTCTCGTGGGGCCAATATATTCGAGCACGAATATTACTCACCCATCGTGCGTCCGTCTCCGCTCGATTTTTTTAACGCAGAACTTTCGAGGATCTCGCGGGAGTGTGCTATATTATTTATTCGATTCGTTCTAAGCGACGACAGAATTATCCTGGGATCTCGACGTTCCTTCGAACGCTCCACGGTTTGAATTCGAGGTACGTTTATTCTGAACACGCGTATATCCATCGAAGGATCTCCTCGTGGTCGTGTTTAACATTGCTTCGTTGAGAACATAAGAATCGATCGTTAAATTCTTTCATTAAATAGTTTACAGTCTTGTAGAATACATTGACGGGTTACTGGTACTTCAGCGAAGACTAGACGGTGTGTTAGTGTCCGGTAATGATTCATTTGTTTTGAAAATTTGAAGAGGGATGAGATTACCATTTGTGGAGGCATGGAAAATTTATTGGAGGGAAAATTCATTCGAGTGAAAGACACCGTGGTCTCGATTAGGAGTATCGTTTTTATTTAATAGATACTAGTCTAATAGTACAACTTCCATTCCTCGGATATATTTACTTTTTAATTCGAAAATATTGCGCAGTAATTTTGCTACGTACTGTCGAAGAAATATCCAAATTTCCAAGCACACGGTATGCGAATAGTAATTTCGATAAACTGAAATTATTTACGAAGGACAAAAACGATTGCACTCCTATGAACGCAGAGTCGTTCGATCTATGGTTATATTTTCGTTTCCTTGGGATTGGAAAAAAAAGAAAACAAGAACCTGCCTCGCATCTGTGTGCGCATATCAGCTCTTTCCATATTTCCCTGCATTTGCATGAAAGGTGTAGAAGCCGCGCACTCGTAGGTGAGATTTAAATCCAAAAGAGGAAGTGCTACTCCATAAATGCAAATTGATACCTGACGTGGTTCCAATCCAACCTCGTTGTTAAGCTCGACTTGGAACCCACGGATTATAATCGTTCCGTTCGTTCTATTGTAATGTGTGCTGTATCTATCCTTAATAAAACAAAACCACCTGTGGCTGCCGAGATACAGTATACACAAATATCGATCGACCCTAGTGACGTCTCATGATCTCATGATTTCTTTTATTTAATCGAATTATCGAATGTCGAAAGAAGCTCGCGGAATAAACAATTAAACACTTGTTATAATTATTATATAGTACGAGTATAATTTTTGTTGATATTTGAGCGATTCAGAAAATACTTTACTTTGTGGTATCAGTGATCGCTGGTGATCACTGATCACCTTGTAAAAATTATACAAGCGAGATAGTCTTTTATTTTGCTTATACTATCGAATAATAAGATGAAATATTTGTTTGGTTTTTGGAGTAGTTTACAAAACCGATGAGTTTATCTATTTCACCAATGAAGACCTCGAGCTAAGAAATTAAGTATTTGTCTTCCCTTGACAATTTTTATGTTCAACTGCGATCACTATGATTTACGCGAGCCAAAGGAATCTATGCTCGAATTCGCTGATATAATCGTTCGATTATTTTCTTTGCCCTTATTTTGTATTTCACTTAAACAAGTTTAGAATATGCAAGAAAAAAGCCGGAAGTGTCGCTAAGGAGACTAACGTTTTCATTACTGACCATTTAATTTTCATTACGGTCTTCAATCTCTGTAAACAAGCCATTAATAATTCGTAACAGGTTTTTGTCAGATTTTTATAAGCGCAAACCGACAGTAAAGAAATGGAGATCCGATCCGTGCTTGGCATAAATATATTTTTAATTTAACGTTTCGATCTTAATTCTAAATGATTCGAAAATATGCAAGTAATTTACGTCTATGAATAATCCGATACTATTTAAAAGAAACTCTCCTAAGATAGAGCACTCCACTTAATATACGATATCCTGTTTAAAATAGAGTAAAAACGTTCAATTAAGAAATGTAAATGCTTGAATCAATTCTCTATACTTCCATTTAAAAGTACAAAGTAGATTTCCTGTTCGATTACCGTTACAACCAATGAAATATATCATTCTTTGATTAGGGTATCAAATGAAGAGCAAAAGAATGCAGAAAGACTTTAATACAAAAGTTAGGTGAAAATTGGACGAAATTAAAATGTACACGACACCAATATCAACCGAATGACTTATGAAAGTCCCACCAAGTGGCCATCGCGGTCTTATCACGCGCGGAACACGGTTTAAAGGTCAACCCGGTGGAGATATTGGTAACAACTCGACGACCAAACGAGATATACGGATAATTATGCACGTAACAAGTTTGCTCGTTTTCTCGACCTTAAGTCCTTTAACGTCCCGGTTTGTTGCTCTTTTGTATTATTTACACTCTATTCAACAAACTACTCCGATTTCAACTTCCATTAAAAGCATACAAGAAATACAGATATAGATTCTTGCTACATCCCTTCAACGCGAGTCGGTTTCCGAAGGCAAAGATTGCTCGTAAAATTGGAGCAAAGCAAATGATAAATATTCTCAGGCAATAATAGGCCTGATAATATTTGGACTCGATATCCCGATATGTCGCGCACGATTACGTAAAAGCATCGATTATGACAATCCGTGGCTCGGTTTCGTCGCGATAGGAACTGTATCGATTAAGAAGCGATAATTTATCCTTGACTGATCCCAATCAGATTTTGGTCTACCGTCCGATACGGAAAACGACTATCACGTGAAGGAGATACAGGATATGATCAGCGTGATACAAAGAATGATCAAAGATGGTAAGTCGTGCGACTTCACGTATTTTCCTCTCGGCTCATAGCACAAACTGTGTAAAACGAATTTATATCTAATCTGCTCTTACGGCCGATAGCGACACATGTTTTTTTTTTTTTTCTAATTAACGAGCAACTCTGCATGGAAAAAAAAAGTGGTTTTATTTCTCAAAGATTAAGGTTCATACACGATACTTCTATCTTTCGTGGACTCTTAACACCATCGACCAACGTAACATTTCGATTCGTTTCAATTTTATGGATCGTAATCGGTATCTTGTTAACCCTTTGCTGTTTAGATCTTCTGATTTCTGATTTTTCTGATTTTTCTGATTTTTGTCGACAATCGCTCGACATCGGATCGCTGACGGTTAAATACAATTCGAATCTTGCCGCGTTAACAAAGATGTAGATGCAGGCTTTCAAATTAATCCTGCTTTATTCTTAACTGGCACGTGGCTGGACTATGAATCTCTCCTTTTTCATCCACAATACTCAAGGACGCGTGAGTTTCAAGGCAACTCTCTCTGTAAAAGCAAAAGTTCTTCCTATAATATGTCGTACTCCAAAAAAGGGAATATCATCGAGGAAACTCCGCTGTTTTTCTCGATACTAATCGCGTGTATTATTTTAGAGTTTTCTGTTATACGCAACAGGGAATGTTGAAACTCCATTCCACTCTCACTGACTTTCAGATTACAGTCAGAATATATTCTATGCAAGATTTAATTGAAGAAAGTCTAAGTTGTTGTTAAATAACAAGGAAATTAGTTTTCCTGTATGATGTACTCATAGTTTGATATTACGAAAAATTATTCACGTTCTGACCCGAGCAAAATGTCTTTCTAATCATAGATACTGAATAGGTTTCATAAATTTTCCACATTATGGGAGCATAAATGATTTCAACTCGTTGGATCTAGAGAGGAATCAAAGATTTGGTCATTGAAACAATTTAATTTCTCTAATCACACACGCAAAGACTATCTGTATAGTAGAAAAACGAATTTCAGATACACTCATAAGTTCCATCTCATTTAATGAATATAAAAACCATTCATTTTAATTTTCACAAAGCAAACGGTTTCTATTATTTTTTTTTTTTTTTTTTTTTTTTTTTGACAACACCAAAAATATCTAAACAACTCTTAAAATAATCCCCACGTGGAACATATACGAAGATTACATCATAAAAGATTCTGTTATCAGTGTGTTTCTATGTTCTAAGAAATTATATTCTGTTTTATAGTCTCTGCAATACCCACTGTCGAAGTAATAAATTATATAAGATTCTCTTCTTTTCGTAATTATTCTGAACATATTCAAATAGACTTTTCGAACTATAATAATGTTAAATGCTACATAAATCGTTTATACTCCCATCCGACTTAAATGCTCGAAGATGATTTACTCGTTTCAATTGTTTATCGTTGACTATTCGCGTTATACTTGAAATATTTCTATTTCGAACGATACCTAACCCGGCGTTGCGTTGCACGCGCGAACGAAGAAAGGCTAGCATAAGCGAATGCAAAGGAGACAAAACGACTGAATAAGAGAACGGAACGAAAAAGGAGAGAGGGAGAGAATAGTATATGTCTCAGGTCCGTGCACACTGGTCCCTTCTGCGTGTTCATGGTTTATGATCGCGGGTCAAGCTGTGTAATGTTAGAAGCGGTGACGGCCATAATATACTCCTTATCACAGTGGTGCTCAACTCCAAACAGTTTTCCATTTAAATGGACTGTACACTTGCGTGCCAGTGTGTCAAATGCGTGCGTGCATTCGCAAACATAATTGCTTCTTGCGGAGCACGTACGACGTAGTTGTCA